ATCAAACTATAAACTTTTTATACACGTGAATAAAACAGAAAACAGTTGAAGAATCATTTATGTTGACATGATCCTGCAACTCAGAAAACAGAAGACAAAGGGAGTCGAGAAGAAAACTTGCAGCTGACGAAGAATATCAAGTGTAGAATATCATCTTTGCATATCTTTGAAACTCCGTCCAAGGTAGTGGAACGTTGAACCAATCAGGTCAAATGGCACCAAGATGGAAAGGAAAAGATGCAAAATCGAAAAAGGATGCAGAGGCTGAGGCACTTAAAGAACCCATGTCAAAGATTGTATCGCAACTTCAGTCTTCTTTAGTTCAATCAAATGCTTGTGGATCTCTCTCTGATAGTTCTGTCCACATAGCAGTGCAAGCTGAACAACTTGACCTGCTTGATAAAGCATACTTTGGTCAACCTGTGAGAAATGTTGCAAAAGACATGTACTGGTTTCAATTAACCTTGGAGGAAGCATTCTACCTATGTTATTCCTTGAAATGCCTCAAGATTAATCGTGGTGCTGATACTAGTCCCTTGAATGATGAAGAGTTGTGGCATTGCTTCAACTCCAAGAAACAAGCATTCTCTTTTTACTACAAGGCTTATTCTCACCTTCGAATGAAAAACTGGGTTGTAAGGTCAGGGGCTCAGTATGGTGTAGACTTCATTGTCTATCGTCATCATCCTGCACGGGTCCATTCTGAGTATGGTGTACTTGTTCGATCACAGGATAATGATGATGATGATGTAAATGGAAGATTGAGAGTATGGTCTGATGTTCAATGCACTACTCGACTTCTTGGAAGTGTTGCAAAAACCTTATTAGTTTTGTATGTTAACAAAAATGGTCACAGTGACGGGTCTCCGTTATATTTGGAAAACTATGCTGTTGAAGAGCGCACGATCTCTAGATGGAGTCCTGAACAATGTCGTGAAAGATCCTTATAGATATTTCTTCTTATTAGTAGTACTATTATTCCAGTTCTACATCATTTAATAACGGGAAGTCGTAATAAAAAAACGGTGCCTGATGAGAGAATCGGAACATCTCCTCTTTAGGAATCCTCTTAACCTCATTCTGGTCCTAGTGCCTTTGAAATACTGTCCTAAAGCCAGGAAACTTAACAAGGGGAGTGACTGATATATCAATATTATTATTACAATTGCAAAACGACTACTATCCCATTTGGATCAGTATATGGTCCTCTTATATCAGTTTTATGCCTAAAACAACAAATTAGAAAACCTAAAAAATCATAAAAAGAAATAAAACCCTAAAATAACAAATTAGAAAACCTAACATCAATTCAATATATTCAAACTCAAAATCAATCATCACAAAGAGCTCAACCATAAGATTCAAGTGAATCTCCAATGCTGAAATCAATGGCAGAGAATGAGAGAGATGAGAACAATGCAAAAAGTGATACATAAAACTTACTGTGTTTGAAGAGATGAACGCAGAGGATGTAGTTTCCATTGCTGTGCGTTTTTTGGTGTGTTGATGAGCGATTTGAAGAGATTCCGGGTTTCTTTCGGTGTGAAGAAGAACGCAGAGGATGTAGTTTGAGTTTGCACTATAAATCATTATAATTAATTCATTTCTATTATAATGAGAATATTTTTTCATTCAACTTTGTGCAAATGCATTTTTGTGGAATATTTTTAATCTTGAAAAGAAATAAAAGTGAAGAATAATGAACTCATAAATTTTCAATTTTTTAATTTCTTTTAGTTCTAAGATCTTTTTTAGTACTAGACATTGGATAATATATTTTAGAGTTCATAATTTGTAAATCTAAATTTTAATTTCATGTTATATTTGAATGTGTTAATGATGGATATAAAATCAAATTTATATAAATCTCAAAAAAAAATTGTTTTACCGCGACAGGTGTTTTACCGTCGTGCCCATGAGAATTTTTAAAGGTTTTGGGTGCGACGGTTGTTTTACCGTCGTGAAATGAATTTTAGGACGGATAATTTTACCGTCGTGAAAGGTTTAAGGGTGCGACGGGTGCTTTACCGTCGTGATATGCCTTTTAGGACGGTTAATTTTACCGTCGTGACTAGTTGTTGGTGAAAAATCAATGTTAAAAGTGTTAAATGGGGGCCGACGGTTGTTTTACCGTCGTAATAATAATATTATGATGGTTAAATATACCGTCGCAAAATAAATATTAGGGACGGTTGGTGTCAACTGTCGTAAACACTGTCCCTATATGTCAATTACGACAGTTATCACATAACTGTCGCAATTTTTGTGTCGTTAAACACTAATTTTCTTGTAGTGTTTCCATAGCCTGGGAATATCCCGGCTTTCATCAAATTCACTTTAATCACTGGTAACAGAGTCAAAAGGTCACCAACAATGGTAACATGAAGGTCTTCCACAATGGCATGGACGTTGTGACCATGTTTGGGAATCGGAGCGGATATCACGTTGGGTTTTTCAAGAGCATCAAACTCTACCTCCTTGGCGTCTATCAAGTATTGGATCTTGTTTTTAAGAGCCCAACAGTTGTTGGTATCATGCCCTACACTGTCTGAATGGTACGCACATTTTGCATTGGAATGATAATAAGGAGAAGAGGTATTGGGGTTTTTCAGCGCTTCTTTCAAGTTGGTAAGATTCAGCTTTAACAAATGAGGGAGGACTTGAGCCGGTGTCATATTGATTCGGGTGAACTGTCGTTATGTCCTTTCTACCCTTTGCTGATTAGCCCTAGGTTGACTATTGTGAGGTTGATCGGTTGGAGATTTTTGAATCATCACAGCCCCTACCGTTGGTCGGCGCTCTGTCCTTCCTTGATTTTTCTGGGAATAAACAGCAGAAGCTTCTTTCTTGGCTGGGAAGGTCTTCTTAACAGCATTGGAAGAGGAAGCATCCTTCTGAATTTTACCACTTTTAATGCCAGCCTCGACCCTTTCACCGATCAGAATTAGTTCAATGAATCCTGCAGATGAACTCCCGATTAAATGATTGAAGAATGGGCCAGACAGGGTCCCTAAAAACATGTCACCCAACTCTCTATCCGACAACGGTGGCTGCACCCTTCCAGCCAAATCACGCCACTTCTGGGCATATTCCTTGAATCCCTCATTAGAAGCCATACCCATACTCTGTAGTTGAGTACGAGTAGGCGCTAAATCAACATTGTATTGGTATTGTCGGTAGAACGCAACAGCCAAATCTTCCCTGTTATGAACATCAGATCTCTCAAGTTGATAGAACCAGTCCAATTGCGTGCCTGACAAACTATCTTGAAAAAAGTGGATCTAGAGATTCTTATCATAGGAGTGAGGTTGGATCTTTCTGACGTAGGATCTCAGATGCATCTTTGGACAGGAAAAGCCGTCATACTTAGAAAATGTAGGTACTTTGAACTTGGGAGGAATGACGATCCCAGCGACCAACCTTAGTTCTTCGAAATCTAAACCAGGTACCCTTTGCAACTCCATGGCTGCCAACTGAACCTCAAGATTTTTATACTTATCATCCGCCGGGGGATATTGTTGTTCGGAGTAATCTTCATCCTCTTCCTCTTCTTCTTCTTCAACTTCAGATTCGGAAGGCATCGAAACTCCTTTTCCTTTACCAACTCCTTCATCAGACGTTGAGGGGAACTCGAGAACCCTTCTATCCTGGTTTTTAAACCTTCTTCCCAAAGTGGCCATACCAGTCCTTTTCTTCTTTTTCTCTTTGTCTTTCTCTTTCTCCAACAGTGCTTTAAGGTCCTCTTGACCCTTTGCTAAGGTCATGAGGAGTTGTTGAAATTAAGAATTATGTGCTTGCATATCTTTAACCGTCTGCTCCAAATCCATCTTGCTGAAATAAACAGCAGAAAGATAAGGAAATCTGGTGTGAAGACTTGTTTATGCATATGATGAATGATATGTTATTCATGTAATGCATTCAAGGATTCAGAAATTCAAATTTGTTGCAAACAAAACGAACACACGTCATATTAAGAAGAAATTTGTTAGTACATAGATGCTCTATGGGAAAAATATTACAAAATTCTTAATGTAAAAAGACATTGCGCATCCTTTTTGGTGCGATGTAAGTTTTGAGAGTCTCTTCCTCGTGAAGTCGGCGGGTAAGTTCCAAAACCTTCTTCTCACTGGCGTAGAAGCTGGCTTCAAAAGTATTCCGTTCTTCTTTGAGTTGGATCCAACTCTTTTGCAATTCTTCCAATGATGTTGGCATGTCAGGATGTAGGAGGGTGTATGGAACCTCTCCTTCCATAACAGGCTCTTTGATCACGGGGAGAATGTGAGGGTAAGGCATCATAAGACTCTGGGCGCGGGTTCATACCCACTTGAGGTATGGCTCAAGGGGGATAGAATTCTTGTGCCCCAATGTCTTACTATCCACTTAGTTGGGCACCCTCCAAGCTCTGATAAACCTTTGTCGAAGTCCTTGCGCATTGTTGTCGAAGTCAAAAACCAAGTCAGGAATCAACATATCATGAGGGCCATCCCTCCGAGCATATCCAAATTGTCTTAGGGCTAAACAGGGGTTGTAGGTAATGCCTCCCCTAATGCCAAGTAGTGGGACATTAGGGAATTCCCCACAACGATCAATGATGATGACATTTTCTCTGGACTGAGAACACCAATGAACATCAGAATGTGTTAGGGTCATCAACCGTTGTGAAGAGGAGTACAACACATGAGAAAACCTCTTTTCCTCATTGTTCGTCGTGTAAAATGAGTGTAGGATATCCCTAAGCAATGTAGGTACGGGATTTCGAGATATGAAAATCTTGACAGCATTCACATCTATAAGTTGA